AGGGAATGGGTGGCATTGGGATCACAAATGTCACAGGACTGTGTTGGGGCCATGATGAGTTGAAGCCACTTGCAAGTAAAAATTATGAAGAGGAAGAAAGCATTGAAAAGACACGGGATGCTGGTTAATAGAGGAGAACCGAACAGGTAATCAGAAAGAAACCAAGATTCAAGAGGCCAGGTGCGGTGGCTCACGCCTGTAATCCCAGAACTTTGGGAGGCCGAGGTGGGTGGATCACAAGGTCAGGAGTTTGAGAGCAGCCTGGCCAACATGGTGAAACCCCATCTCTAGGAAAAATACAAAAATTAGCTGGATGTGGCAGCACATGCCTGTAATCCTAGCTACTCGGGAGGCTGAGGCAGGAGAATCGCTTAAACCTGGGAGGCAGAGGTTGCAGTGGGCCGAGATCACACCACTGCACTCTAGCCTGGGTGACAGAGTGAGACTCTGTCCCAAAAAAAAGAAAAGAAGACTCAAGAAAGACTGGTCCCCAGTGCCAGCCTGCCTCAGAGCCCAAGCCCTTCAAGTTCAGTTCATTTTCATAAGCATCCTCACCAGAAACCACATCTTTCTGGAGGTGACTGAAGTAGATTTCTCTTCCCTGCAGCTAAACATCTTAAATATCTATATCCATTATTTCCATTGTCCAGAGCTGTCGAATGTACATAAAACTGTAGGAGTATACGTTGGCTATAAATCAGCTTCAGCACAGACTCTGGAAGTGAAATTTAAAAATTAACTTCGTGATACTAGTAGGTTGTGTTTTTAGTTCTGGTCATTTGCCACTCCTCATAAAAGTTCAATGTAAAACAGATTGAAAGCTGTGCAGTACTCAACCTATATATGACATTATTTGCTAGCTAAAGAGAGTTGGTGCACTTGCCTTATAGACATTTATGCACTAAGATAGCTATACCACCATATCGTAAGAAACATCGTAACAGGGAAGAAATCATTAGATCACAGTTCTAAACTAGTCACATATTGGAGGCAAAAAAAAAATTCCTTTAGCAAGATTATCAAAATGAATGAAAAAAGTAAAACTCTGTATTATTTTCCAAGCATTAAAATATTAATATCTAGGAGAAAAAAATTTCTCATTTTTTAGATGGAGTATTGAGTATTGCTCTGTTGCCCAGGCTGAAGTGCCATGGTGCAATCTTCGCTCACTGCAACCTCCACCTCCTGGGTTCAAGTGATTCTCCTGCCTCAGCCTCCTGAGTAGCTGGGATTACAGGAGCCCGCCACCACACTGGGCTAATTTTTGTATTTTTAGTAGAAACAGGGTTTCACTATGTTGGCCAGGCTGGTTTCAAACTCCTGACCTCAGGTGTTCCGCCTGCCTCGGGTTCCCAAAGTGCTTGGATTACAGGTGTGAGCCACCATACCCAGCCTTTTTTTTTTTTTTTTTAAATACAGGGTCTCTCTCTATTGCCTCTCTCTGCTTCTCTCTGTTGCAATGGCACAATCACAGCTCACTGCAATCTCTCAGGCTCAAGCAATCCTCCCACCTCAGCCTCCCAAGTAGCTAGGACTACAGGCATGTACCACTATGCCCAGCTAATGTTTTATTTTTTGTAGAGACAGTCTTACCATGTTGCCCAGGCTGGTCTAGAACTCCTGGCTCAAGTGATCCTCCCTTGTCAGCCTCTCACAGTACTGAGATTACAGGAGTGAGCCACCATGCCTGGCCTTGGTTAATCTTTTCTCAAAAAAGAAAAAAAAAAATTTTATAGGCCAGGTACTTTGCAGCATTTTGGGAGGCTGGGGTGGGAGGATCCCTTGAGCCCAGGAGTTCAGGACCAGCCTAGGCAACATAGGGAGAGCCTGTTTCTACAAAAAAAAAAAAAAAAAAAAAAAAAGTTTTAATTAGCTGGGCATGGTAGTGCCTGTAGTCCCAGCTACTTGGGAAGCTAAGGTGAGAGGATTGCTTGAGCATGGGAGGTCGAGGCTGCAGTGACCCATGATCGTGCCACTGCACCCCAGCCTGGGTGACAAACACCATGTTTAAAAAAAAAAAAAATCCTTTGTAAAGGAAATAATCAGCCTCAATGTGTCGGAACTTTAAAATATATTATTGTATGTTGCGAATCCTATGTAAGGACCTCCCACCACCTGTCTTTCAGTTGCATTTAGGAAAGCTTTGAAGCAAACATGCTGTGAAGATTTATAAGTGCCTTTCCACTGCCAGGCATAATGTTAATATTTTATTTTCTCACATGGTGGTCATCCATTTATACTCCTGATTTTGTTCACTAAAAATAGGGGTCTAGGGGCTTCTGGTTCAAGACTGAGCACAAGCACTGGTTTCTCCATCTCTCCTAATCTCCCCCAAGACCTCACCAAAATGAAAGTATGAAAAAGAACAAGGTCAGAACACCGAAGAGAATGGGAGGCAGGTCAAACAACAGATGAGAGACCTATATGTGTTTCTGGAAGGCAGAAAGCAGACGAAACAAGCTGCAGATAAACAAACCAGGAGAGAAAGCACAGAGAACCCACCACAGGAGCTCCTGATGCTTGGAAGCCCATCTACCCAGCCAAGACCCAGAGACTGGAAGAGGGAGACGCACCCTTGACTGGAAGTCTGATGGGGACCAACTGCACCACTTGGTGCCCCCAGCTCACTGTACCCAGCAGAGAGTTCAGGCAAATAAAACGAAAGAAAAGAGAATTCAGACCAGGCAAGGTGGCTCAGGCCTGTAACCCTAGCACTTTGGGAAGTTCAAGTGGGTGGATCACTTGAGGCCAGGAGTCCGGGGCCAGCCTGGGCAACATGGCGAAACCGTGTCTCTAGAAAAAATACAAAAAATTAGCCAGGTGTGGTGGTGTGTGCCTGTAGTCTCAGCTACTCAGGAGGCTGAGGTGGGAGGATCACTTGAGTCTAGAAGTTTGAGGCTGCAGTGAGCCATAATTGTGCCACTACATTCTAGACTGGATGACAGAGCAAGACCTTGTCTGGAAAGAAGGAAGGAAGGAAGGAAGGAAGGAAGGAAGGAAGGAAGGAAGGAAGGAAGGAAGGAAGGAAGGAGAAGGAAGGAGAGAGAGACAGAAAGAAAAGAAAAGAAAGAAGAGAAAGAGAAAGAAAGAGAGAGAGAAAGAAAGAGAGAGGAGAAAGAAAAAAAAGAAAGAAAGAAAGAGAGAGAAAGAAAGAAAGAAAGAAAGAAAAAGAAAGAAAGAAAGAAAGAAAGAGAAAGAGAAAGAAAGAAAGAAAGAAGCAAGCAAGCAGGCAGCCGGTGGGGTGGGGAGGCACGCAGTGGCTCATGCCTGTAATCCCAGCACTTTGGGGGGTATATCATCTGAGGTCGGGAGTTCAAGACCAGGAAGGAAGGAAGGAGAGAAGGGGGAGAGAGAGAGAGAGAGAGGCCAGATGCGGTGGCTCATGCCTGTAATCCCAGCACTTTGGGAGGACGAGGCAGGTGGATCACCTGAGGTTGGGAGTTCAAGACCAGCCTGACCAACATGGAAAACCCCTGTCTCTACTAAAAATACAAAATTAGCTGGGTGTGGTGGTGCATGCCTATAATCCCAGCTACTCAGGAGGCTGAGGCAGGAGAATAGTTTGAACCCAGGAGGCAGAGGTTGCGATAAGCCGAGAATGAGCCATTGCACTCTAGCCTGGGCAACTAGGGTGAAATTCAAAATAATAAAAGAAGAAGAAGAAAGAGAATAAAGAGAGAAGGAGAGAAAGAAAGAAGGAAGGCAGGAAGGCAGAAAGAGAGAAAGAGAGAGAGGAAGAGAGGAAGAGAGGAAGGGAGGAAGGGAGGAAGGGAGGAAGGGAGGAAGAGAGGAAGGGAGAAAGAGAGAAAGAGGAAGGGGAGGAAGGGAAAGACAGGAAGAAAGAAAAAAGGAAGAACGCAAGAAGAAAGAAAAAGAAAAGGAAGGAAGGGAGCAAGGAAGGAAAGAAAAGAAGGAAGGAAGGAAGGAAGGAAGGAAGGAAGGAAGGAATCCAGACCATTATTTAACGGAAGAGGTCAAACCCTGTGGTGAAAGCAGAAGCTTCTTTATGGATGTTGGCACCTCAAATTAAAGGTCTCTTTGTTCTGGCATTTGGGGGACATGGAGCTAGAAACTAACTCATCTCCCTAAATCCCAGACAACTCAAAACCCTCCTATGCACCATTTGAGCCTCCATTAGAGAGAGTCCTGGAGAGGCATTCAGGTATAGTGGTAGAATTTTGAAGCCAGAAAGCTTGGGTTCAAATATAAAATCTGCCACATATTAACTATGTAACCTGCCACAAGTTATCCATTCTGTCCATGCCTCAGTTTCTTCATTTGTAAAACGGCAATAGTAATGTATTATTCATTCATTCTAAGATTTTTAATACATGCATAATCAGTATGTGTCTTATAATCTTATAAAGACATGTCATACTTCAACAGCATTATTTACCTTTTTAGTAGTAAACAAAATAATGGTTCATCTTACAATTGATGGAATAGTAAACTGAATGAAATACTATGGCCAGGCACAGTGGCTTAATGCCTGTAATCCCAAAACTTTGGGATGCCGAGTTGGGCGGATCACCTGAGGTCAGGAGTTTGAGACCAGCCTGGCCAACATAGGGAAAACCCATCTGTACTAAATATACAAAAATTAGCCGGGCATTGTGGCACGCACCCGTAATCCCAGCTACTTGGGAAGCTGAGGCAGGAGAATTGGGAAGCTGAGGCAGGAGAATTGCTTGAACCCAGGAGGTGGAGGTTGCAGTGAGTCAAGATCCCACCACTGCACTCCAGCCTGGGTAACAAGAGTGAAACTCCATCTCAAAAAAGAAAGAAAAGAAAAGAAAAGACCATAGTAACTACCTCATAGAGGAGTTGTTGAGATGACTTAATAAGTTAATACACTACACAGAACAGTGCCTAGAACGCAGGTAAACACTGTATAAATGTTAGTTATTACTACCCACCTGGGGGAACAGTTCTCACATAACAGCAGAAAAAACCCACACTAGCTACCCACTGTATCTTTCACTAAAATAACAAAGAATTACCTGCAAGGTGGCTCATGCCTGTAACCCGAGCATTTTGGGAGATGAAGGCAGGAGGATTACTTGAGGCCAAGAGTTCAAAAGCAGCCTGGGTAACATAGTGAGACCCCATCTCTACAAAATAAAAACAAACAAACAAAAAATTAGCCAGGCATGATGATGTGTGTCTGTAGTCCCACCTACTCAGAGGCCGAGGTGAGAAGGTCATTTCAGCCCAAGATGTTGAGGTTGCACTGAGCCAAGATCTTGCCACTGCTCTCCAGCCTGGGTAACAGAGTAAGACCTTGCCAAAAAAATAAACACCAGATAAACAAAACGGTAATCCTGAAGAAAACACATAATTCAGTGAACAGAAAATAATGTTTGCAAATTCTAATGTATGTGTTTAGAGAGGTTTTTAAAAATAAGAGTGGAGCCAGGCGCAGTGGCTTACGCCTGTAGTCCCAGCACTTTGGGAGGCCGAGGCGGGAGGATCGCCTGAGGTCAGGAGTTCGAGACCAGCCTGGCCAACATGGTGAAACCCCGTCTCTACTAAAAACAGAAAAATTGCCGGGCGCGGTGGCTCACACCTGTAATCCCAGCACTTTGGGAGGCCGAGGTGGGCGGATCACCTGAGGTCGGGAGTTCAAGACCAGCCTGACCAACATGGGAAACCCTGTCTTTACTAAAAATACAAAATTAGCCAGGCATGGTGGCGCATGCCTGTAATCCCAGCTACTTGGGAGGCTGAGGCAGGAGAATCGCTTGAACCCGGGAGGCGGAGGTTGCGGTGAGCCGAGATCGCGCCATTGCACTCCGGCCTGGGCAAAAAGAGCGAAACTCCGTCTCAAAAAAAAAAAAAAAAAAAAAAGAAAGAAAGAAAAAAGAAAAATTAGCCGGGCGTGCACCTGTAATCCTAGCTACTCGGGAGGCTAAGGCAGGATAATCGCTTGAATCCAGGAGGTGGAGGTTGCAGTGAGCCGAAATCCCGCCACTGCACTCCAGCCTGGGTGGCACAGCGAGACTCCGTCTCAAAAATAAAAACAAAAATAAAAAAAATAGGCCGGGCGCGGTGGCTCACGCCTGTCATCCCAGCACTTTGGGAGGCCGAGGCGGGCGGATCACGAGGTCAAGAAATCCAGACCATTGTGGCTAACATGGTGAAACCCCGTCTCTACGAAAAATGCAAAATTTAGCTGGGTGTGGTGGTGCGCGCCTATAGTCCTAGCTACTCAGAAGGCTGAGGCAGAAGAATCGCTTGAACCTGGGAGGCAGAGGTTGCAGTGAGCCGAGATCGTGCCACTGCATTCCAACCTGGCCACAGAGCGAGACTCCGTCTCAAAAAAAAAAGAGAGACTCTTGAAATCCTGGGTTCAAGCGATCCTCTTATCTTGGCCTCCCAAAGTGCTGGGATTACAGGCATGAACCACTGCACCTGGCCTGTTTAGAGAGAGACTTAAGACAATATTACGTTCATAAAACAAAAGAGAATGCTATGAAAAAAGAAAAATCCTAGAACAAAATCTTTCAGATTTCAAAAATATGATTGCCAAAATTAAAAATACAATTGATAGCCTGAAAAAAGTTAAGTCAAGGAAATCTCAGCGGGGGAAAAAAAAAATCAGAAGTTGAAAAACATGAGAGAAAAGATAGGCAATACAGAGGAACAATATGGAAGGACCAGCATCTGATTAATAGGAATTCCAGTAAGAGTGAAACAGAGGAGGAAATAAACGAACAATGCAAAACAGCTTCCCAGACCTAAAGGGCACAAACATTCATATTAGAAAATCCTACCAAGTTCTTTGGACAGCAAATGGGGAAATAAAAACCTTACCCTTTGAACATATTGAAATTTCAAAACACCAAGGATAAATATAAGGAGACTCTTTAAAGCATTTGAGGAGAAACAGGAATTCATTCGGCAACGGACTTCCCATCAACAACAATGGATACTAGAATATAGTGGGAGAAATTTTTTAATGCCCTCAAAGGTTTTATAAAAAATTATTTTCAATCTAGAATTATATGCCCAGCTAAACTGTCAATAATATGTGAGAGGTGGGGCCAGGCACAGTGGCTTACCGTAATCCCAACACTTTGGGAGTCTGAGATGAGTGGGCTGCTTGAGCCCAGGAGTTTGAGACCAGTCTGGGCAATATAGTGAGACTCTCATCGGTACAAAAAATTTAAAAATTAGCCATATGTGGGGGCATGAGCCTGTAGTCCTTGATACTCAAGAGGCTGAGGCAGAGGGATAGGTTGAGCCCAGGAATTCAAGGTTACAGTGAGCTAAAGATCACTGCACTGCACTCCAGCCTGGGAAACAGGGTGAGATCTTGTCTCTAAAAACATAAAAATAAAAATAAAAAATATGTGAGAATTGAATGAAGACATTTGCACACATGCAAGGACTCAGGAATTTTTCTCCCATACACCATTTGTTAGGAAGTCTCTTGAGGAAGTATTCCAGTAAAACACAATAAATAGAATAAGACTAAATTAAGAAAGAAAAAGCCACAAGATTTAACAACAGGTGGGTCCAACCATGTGTACGGAAGTCCCAGGATCTCAATGGTGCAATGTGCCTAGAGAGTAACCAGATTGGCGCAAGAGAACAACTCTCAAAGGGTAGTTCCCAGTGGAAAGGAGACTTGGTGGAAGCGACTGTATGGTTTAGAACTTGGGGAAGTTTGAGGATGTAATAATTACAAATCACATGGATGAGGGGAGGAAAGGAAATGATAAAGTCCGGAAAATAATAAAAGATCATATAGGAAGCTTATAGTCCAAATATGAAGCAAATTAAAATGTGGCTTAAGTTTAAACTGAAGGGATTGTTTTATACTTCCTTCCAAAAAGATATTCCTCTGTGTTAAACCTGGCAGCGCTTTATCTGTATAACTAGGCATAATTTCAGGTGATTTTTCTCAAGGTAAAGTCATTCTAGGACATAGAGTCTTCACTGCTGGTAGCCACCACCCCTAACTCCCAGACTGTTAAAAGGAATTTCAAGAAAGTATTTGAACATTACCTTTGGAATGTTGACACAATGTGGAAAAAAATTAGGTTGAAAGTACTGGAAGTCTTGGCCTCTCCACATTCTGGGCCATCTGCTGACAGATTGGAAAATGTATGTCTCCCTTTCTCAGAGACAAACCACCTCACCAGAACTCAAGGCTTCATGTCAAACTCAGAGTGACCTCTTCTTTTAGTTGAGGAAAGTGGTTTCTTTTATGAGGACTTTAGAGCATTAGCTAGTGCTTTAAATTCAATCGTTTTGAAGATGCAAATACTTCAAGTACAAAATCAATAGTTATGGCACCATCTCAAAAGGCATGTCCTTTCATAATCAAACTTATTATAGTTAAAAGTTTAATTCTTAACAATCTTTGGTCTGAATAATAATTTCAAAATAATTTGCTTAAATTTAGCAGGCCTACAAATCAATCTCAGGAAGGCTCAAAGTCTCTTGCCAAGGACAAATTGATCCTTTAAAAAGAATTGCTGGCCAGGCATGGTGGCTCACGCTTGTAATCCCAGCACTTTGGGAGGCTGAGGTAGATGGATCATCTGAGGTCAGGAGTTCGAGACCAGCCTGGCCAACATGGTGAAACCTCGTCTCTACTAAAAATACAAAAATTAGCCAGGCATGGTAGCATATGCCTGTAATCCCAGCTACTAGGGGGTGCTGAGGTAGAAGAATTGCTTGAAGCTGGGAGGTGGAGCCTGCAGTGAACTGAGATGGCGCCACTGCACTGCAGCCTTGGCAACATAGTTAGACTGTGTCTCAAAAATAAATAAATAAATAAATAAATAAATAAATGAAATAAAACAAAAAGAATTGCTGGTATAACCCAGGCTCTAAGTATCAGAAAAGAGAACTGGTCTTGCAGTAGGGATGAATGGAAATTTTCATGACAGTGAGCATGAATTTGAGTTACCAAACTGGACTTGGCATCAATATGTGTAGACTGCTCTTCTAACGTGTCCTGATGAAGGAATGAGAGAATTGGCAGTAGCTGGAGGAGGTGTCTTGCAGGAACTTTCTCAATTGAGTCTTGAGCAGGTTTGCAGATTGAGGAGAGGAATTAGATTAGGAGCCACAGAAAATGGGAGATACAGTAGGGCAAATTGTTGAGGTGAAGTCCCACAAGTTAAGGAGGAATGTGAATACAAATATGAGGATTAGTTTTGAACAGGAGGAGGGTTCCTCCTTCCTTTGAGACAGGACAGGAGATAAGATATGATGCTCATTTAAGGAAGTCTGGAAGAAGTGAGGAAGATTCAGGTATTTACCCTTGATGACATCAATTTTGTATATGAAACAGGAGACTGGTCCATCTGCTAAGAAGGAAAGAGATCCTGAAGTGTTTGAAATTAGTCACTACCAGAAATTTAAAAAGTGGCAGGGCAGGGTGGCTCATGTCTGTAATCCTAGCACTTTGGGAAGCTTAGGCAGGAGCATCGCTTGAGCCCAAGAATTTGAAACCAGCCTGGGCAATATAGACCAAGACCCTGTCTCTACCAAAAAAAAGAAAGAAAGAAAGAAAGAAAGAAAGAAAGAAAGAAAGAAAGCCAGCCAGGTGTGATGGAGTGCACTTGTGGTCCTAACTACTCAGAAGGCTGAAGTGGGAGGATCGCTTGAGCCCAGGAGCTGGGGGCTACAGTGAGCTATGATCACGCCACTGCACTCCTGCCTTGGCAACAGACAAAGACCCAGACCCTATCTCTAAAAAGAAGAAATAAACAGAAATGGAAAAAAGAAAACTGACAAGACCCAAAGACCACCCTTATTCCTCCCCGAAACAGAGAAGAGAAAAATATGTATTTGACCTTGATGTGCATTATCTTTTCATCTGGCAAGGGTCCTAAACTTGTACCTAAAGAAAAAAAATTCATCCTATCCTTCTGTAGAAAATGGTGCAAGTTCTGTCTCAACTACTTTCTGACTTCCTGTTCTTAAATAAGCCTCAACTTCTCCGTGCTTCAGTTTCCCCATTTTTAAAAAGGGACCTTCTGATCATTATGACAATTAAACAATGATGTTCATAAAGTACTTA